AAAGTCAATTCTGTCACCTGGCTCGTTGGCATCAGTCACATTATGGTGTAGGGGCAAAATGGCGAAACTAGATGTTGGCTAATTATAATTTAACTTTGTTTTTTTATGTTATATGCATTTCTGCCAGAGTCCATCTTCTTAAGTTTCCTATCCTTTAGAAATACGCACTTGTGCAGAATATTTGACTCCTTAAGTGGCTTTAAATTTTAAACGGATTCTTTTATGTGGTTAATTTCTTGCTGAAAAATGATGAGGAATTAAGTATCACGTATTACACATTATTCCTCCACTCATACTTAGAGTACTTGTTTTTACTAAGACTTTAAAGTTTGTCATCTATATCCGATAACTAAACTGATTTTTTTCTTTTTTCCTAATTGTGTTACTTCAGTTTATCTAACCGCAGGGGCCTGATCAGAAAAAGCCTTCATTTAGTTTCTTAATTCACATTCCTTGATGTTAGGATTTGACTGTTCTATCAACTATAAAATACGTCGATCTTGAACCCAAAAATTCGTAATAAAGGGACTCAACTGGATATGCATAAAAGCTTTTACACTAAACTAATGCTATCTCAAATTTTAATCATTTGTCCCATTTCTTTAGCCAAAATCCCAGTCTCAAAAGAAGCCTCAGCGTCGTCTGTGCTCCGGGCCAAATCGCAAATCTGCTAAGCGCGAAGTTGCTCCTACCACAATTAGCCGTCACGCTCCTACTCTTTCCATATCAGCGTCCATATCTGCACACCCATCTCCATCTTCAATTTCTCGTTTACCGCGCTCATCCGCCTGCCTTAGATCTCAAGTATCACCGCCTCGAGTTCGACGCAGAAGTTCACCCGATGCACAGACTCGTTCGCACACTCACAGCACTTCTGCCTCAGGAGTCTCAGGCTATCTCAGTTCTAGTGGCAATGCCAAACGACAAACTCGTACATCCGTCACCCCGTCTACTTCTGCTGGTAATTCGCGACGGTCCTCTGCATTCTCTGCCGCTCCTTGTTCGCACTCCTCCAGATCCTCGTCTGCCTCATTCTACTCGAGCCGACAATCCCGACCCTGCGACTTTAGGGCTACATCTTCTAGTTCCTACACACCCAGATCTTCCGCATCCTCCTCCACAGCTTCTCAATCTAGAACATCTTCCTCAGCTTCTTCTGCGTCTAGGTCACGTTCACGGATAAAATCTCAGTCATCTTCATTCGGTTCCAGGGCCCAAATAAAACGGAAAATTAGGCAAAATAATGTTAGTCCTTTTATTTTTTGATCCATATATATATATATATATATATATATATATATGCTTCTCACTGATCATTATTGTAGCTCCTGAAGCAGAAAGCATTTTCTGTAACGTACGTTGTTTCATTTGATGATCATATTATTCGTGGGGCTTGGCTGTTATTCATAAAATTCTTTTTTCTTTGAAAAATCTGCTTAAAGATATAAAGCCCTACAAAATGTAATTAAGTTGGATACATTCAAGCTTTAAGATCCTCCCTAAAAGTTACGTTTGGATATATTTAACTCGCTTTTTATCCATCTATCGCCATCCAGACATACTTTATTCTAGTATAGGGTAGTCGATATTTGGGTGTATACTGCAGTGCGTTCTCTTTGGAGGGTCATATCTCTTAAATTAAATGGTAATTTAAGTAGATATATTTGGTTTCTATATTCTTTCCATTTCTACGTTTGATAAGGCTATTCGGGGGCAAAATATCCGTTTTGGTTCTATCTATATTTATAGGAGTTCAATACTAGTCGATCAGAACAAGAGCTTTCAACATAAGGCCATTCAGTATGTCCTTGATGCTCTTAAGCATATCCTTTTCATTGATACCTTAAAAGCCCTCTCTTTGATTTACATCTAGCTATGCATTCAAGTCTTTAACTTTTGTCCACAGCAAACATTTGCTAATATTTTACTTCATGAATCGTTATTTATGCCTGTAAACACCAAGATAAGTAGATATCAAAGAACCAACTTGGAAACAAACTGGAAGGAGAAGGCAGATCCGTGTGCACGTGTGCTAATAACCGTTTGGTAATCGATACACAAAATATTGCTAGAAAATTATGCTAATCATATCAATGGATGATAAAAAGCAAAAAGCCATACTGCTTTTAAAACAATAAAACCCTTAAAATGTATATTTAAACTAAAAGACAAATAAATCATAATATGGCCGTCTGAACAATCCATATTAGCACACAAATTAAGAGATTTTCGTTTCGTATGAAAGTGCATTACGGTATGATTCATCGATTGATCTCATTAGGAGATAAAGGCTGATTCTGTTATTCTATAGCTATTTGGCCTTGATACGGCGTTCAGATTGACGCAACTCGCGAGACATCTTCGCTCGTTTCACGTGAAAACGGCTGAGCCTTATTCCATCCCATGACAGAAATCTTCAGAGCTGGCACTTATTCTTGCACAAGCTTCTAGTTAAAACACAGCCAAAAAGATTAATGTGAAAGGCAATTATTCAAACCATTATATGTTTGTATATATTTTTTTCATTATATACAGCATGTAGCGTAGATCCAGGTTATCTTTTTGATTGTGTATTAACTTGAGGCAAAATATTTTTCATAATGAACTTTCATGCGAAACGAAGGTCTCCAAAAACCTTTTGTTAGTATTGACTGTACATACCGCTGTATTACGATTTATTTATCTTTTAGTTTAGATTTAAATTTTTCAGGGTTTCATTGTCTTTAATAGGGTCATTGTTATTTGCTTACTTCGTATCACCCATTAATATAATTTAGTCATACTATTCTTGCAATATTTTCTACACCGATTACCACGTGGTTACTAGTACATATACTTAGGCTTTTCACGATATAATTCTCTATTGTTTATTTCCGAGTTGGTTTCTTTACATACACTCTATTTCTGTTTACAAGCATATCACGAGACT